TAGCTACAATTCTGACTGAATCTGATCCGTTCACTTCGCAATCATGTCCTTGGAAAAGGCATGAATCCATCTTACCTTAGCTATGGATTACATAGCAGGACAGACTGGGCACTCTTAAGACTCGAGAGAGAACCAATCATGGAGGGTGAAAAGTGAATACAAATAGGGTAGTCGGTGATCTTCAATACTAATAGGGCAACGAGTCTAGAAGAAGGACAAATCTTAAATCAAAACCAATTAGAAGAGTATCAGTATCGTTCGTTTGTTTAGAGGCATATCAACTTCTTTTACGTCATTTAGTGCCGAAATTTAATTTTGAGGGAAGTATTAGTCATTTTCTTTACAAAAATGTATTGCTGTTATTTTCACTTTTTTAAATTTTTTTTTTCATAGTATTTGAACCCAGCTTGGGGGTTAACGATTTGCTCATAGCTGGGACCTAAAAAGGTGCTACCGTTCCAGGTGAGGATGGACCTGGGAACAACAGCAATTAAAAGGTGGTTCCACGCTACACAAAACCTCAAATCTCCCAATCAGAAGTCTTGCCCCGGGATTTAGTTTATCGTCATACCCAGGACGACCAATCGCTATTGAAATGAGATAACAGCTGCTGCTCTTGAGAAATCTATTTATCTGAAAAAATGTTTTAATAGAAAGATTTTTATAAATTTCAACCAGCAGTAGGACTAGTAGCTTGGTCAATAATTCCATATAAGGAAACAGGTAATATTACCATTACCAACTTCAATAGAAATGGTTTGCCAGAATAGTTTGCTAACCATTGTTCCCTAAAGAGAAGCCCCAGATGTTTTAGATTGGTTCGACATAAGGTCAAGTGTGTGCAGTCACTAGCGGGGATTGAAATCACTATTGTCGAAGTAATCTGCGAGATATCTATTTCATCACGGAGAAGCGACTGATATATTGAACAACAGGGCTTTTACTATACTAAATTGAATTCACTAGATAAATCTTTAAGTAAACTAAACTGTATACGTGGACGCATACATTTATGTATAGACGGGTGTATGTGACATTTCTTTTCTTTCTTAGAACGTTTTTCTTTTTCATATTTGACTTAAGTATGCGTCGAAAGAATCTTTATACGAAGAGTCAAAAAGGTTAATTTCGTCCATGATAGAGAGAAACATTTGAAAATTGCACACACGCAGCTTGCCTCCAGATTTAAAAGTCTACATCCGGGCTGTTCGTCTCGTCAAGTTGTCATAGGATGTTTTCAGAGAGCTAAACAAACAGGCTCAAAGCAGTATTCCCTTCATTCCGGGTCCTCGGTCGACAATATGCTGGACGCATATACGTAGGCGTTGTTGTTATGTCTGGTCTCCCATATGTGTGCGTGAGGAGCGAGAAAGGGCCACAGATTCATTGTAAACAGTGTGCATTGGGATCAGCTTAGTCACTTCATATTTGCTGACAACGTTATTGCCAAAAGCGGTAAATAGAGAGACAAAAAGATAACTGTATATATTTGCACGCACACCTTGTTTGCTATAAATGCTGATAGGCAGACATGCAGAGTTTGTACTGAGCCTTATTGGTTGAAGTTTATGAATTCAGTTTAGAGACATTGGCATATGTGTTAATGTATGGAACCACTGCAGGGGCGATTATTAATGTAAGGTACCATTGCCTGGATATTGACTAAAATCTTAGAGTCTGAGCTTGAGAGAACTAACACTCGGATGCTGAGAGCTATACTTAACATCTCTTTGAGAGAACATCCAACTAAATCACAGCTCTATAGACCCATCCCTGAGTATGTAGCTCTGGCGAAACACATACTATGCAACTGTTATCAAATAAAATAAGACATATCTCGGCTGATTTACAGGCAAATACTCAAGAGTGAGAGCCGGATGTGAACGGGACAAAGCCCCGTCACAAAATGACCATTATCTTCATTTCCAAATGTTCCCGTCACACGTGTTCCGGTCGAAAAATAAATATTTAAAGTGTTCTATTTTTCGTCCAATAAAAATGCTTCCCTCCTAATTATACTCGCTTCGTTTTTCGAGCCTGTTAAGCCATAAAAAACGCTATAAAAGGGGTCACACGGAAGTTCAACAGGCAGTCCACAGGTGGCCAGGGAACTGACCTGTCACGGTAAGCAGCTGTCAGCAAGGGAGCGTCAACCACCGTCAACATGTGTGAACTACTATGAGAGATCGACCTAGATCCGAAGCCGGCTTATGAACTATACCACAAGGTAACTGTCCCAAACACTCACGTTCCTGTTGAAATAAACCACGTAAATATATTTCTGCTGTTGTCGTATTTCTTTCTTGCAACCATACGCTTGTCTATAACACAACCAAGAAAAGGATCGTTCACATTGCCTTGATCACGATTACGGTCGACTCCTTTTTACTTTACTCGCGACAGATCTGCTGCTTTGAACACCTAACCATAGAGTAAGAAGGGTTTATCGTTCAGTAACCATCTACATTGACCAGCTGTGTTATGACACAGAATTCAACCCTAATAACCTTCCGATGTTGAAGCAGGGCCATGATCGTTGTTTTGATAGACTCACGAATATCCGAGCTAGCTCAACCGAATAGACATGCACAACATTATGGACGCATGGGATGTATAGAAACAGAATAGAAACAATTATATGTCCGTCAGTACATCCATTATTCCACACATACGATTAATTGACTGATTTGTATTTAACAGCTTGTCAACCCTTTGTAGATTGTTAAAAGCCAGAAAATTTTAGACCGCAAGAATTTTTTGGAGATAATAATGATTTATTGATACAAGTTCTACTAATTAACACAATTTTCGGGGGCGGGGAGGTGGATTCATACCTTTGCCAAGAATATTTGCGCGTAAGTGAATTTAACGAATCCGACTGGAAGTGGAACTCTGCTATCCGACTTCCAATTCTGAGTCGTTATCCATTAAGCCAGCAACACTTCCAAGCTTACATCACCTGGTGTTCTCAAATGACCGCCTATCTACGTACTGACCAGGATCAACGTTTCTTTGGTGATCGTACGGGAATCGGTATTTCGACGTGATATGGTCGTACGCCTCCATACATACGAAAAAAAAAAAGGGTAGTGAAACACACACACACATATATATATATATATATATATATATATATATTTAGACAGTTTGAAGATCCGATAACGACGATACTATAGTAGCAACTTTGGGAATTTTAAATCCCTTTAAATTGTGTGCCTATAACTTACTTCATAACAATGTTGGTGTGATCAACAACAGAAAACTTGTTAAAAGACCTAAAACTTTAGACAAGAAAGGGAAGAAGAAAAAAACATAAAAAAACTAAAAAGTAACCTAGCTACGCAGTAAAAGTGCTCAACGCCTAGACTATCTAGATAGAACAAAAAACATTTCACAACGTCAACACTCAATGAATCGAGTCGCTACCCAAGTTTTACTGAAAATTTCAACTCAATGTAATTTTCAATAAAAGATAATGTAATTGATTATATATATATATATATATATATATATATATATATATATATATACACACACAAGTTCATAAAATTCGGTTTCTTCTATGGTATATTTATATTCAGGATCATCTCCTTTCCTCACAAAGCTCATGCTGATACAATGTGGGATATTTAAAACCAATAGTGATAGAAAAAAAAATTAGATCCAAACAAATTTAAAGCCAAGAGACGCTTTATATTTAACGTTTTCAATGTAAACCATAACCAGCGTTTGATGCATTTCTTCAGTCACAAAACTGGCTCCATCGATAACTAGTCTGAAGAAGTTTTTTCCAGAAACGAAATGCGTTAATTAGATTTTGCATTTTGTTATTTAATTGTACTATTAGCCTGACAAATTTATACATAATATCTTACATATTAGATTTTATGTACATGAATACGGAATTAGGATTGAATTTTTTTCAAAATATACGAGAGAATTTTCCTGTAATAAATTAAGAGAAAATTGATAGAACATTTTCTGATAGAGTGATTCCGACAGAGACACAAAAATGTGTGTTGTCTATCTTCATACGATGTTCAAAAAGGGTATATATATATATATATATATATATATATATATATATATATAGACGGAGCTCTTGTGGGTTGTCGATAGCTGGCACAGCCACAAGTCATCATGGTCGAGCGCTTAAGCGTGCTGGCCTTGTTCAAATTGTTGATCACGCTAGATAACACGCTCTCTCCCAGAAATTGAACTAAGATCTGCTCAGCGTAGTTGTAGTATAAACCACAGTTGGGCTCTGTGGGTGTTGAGCAAACACAGATGTGCCTAAGCGAGCGTCTGCGATAGGGATTGGCTAGCTGCCCTAATAGACGGGTATCCTCGAATACGAGTGGCCCAGATATATATATATATATATATATATATATATATATATATATGTGTGTGTGTGTGGTTTAAGGTATGCTATACTTATGTGTTGAAGTGGTCAATATCAGGGATAGAGTATATGTAAATATAAAAGTGGACATTGAGGTTAACACACAGCGGCAACAATCAGTTTCATGTTCAAACGCAAGATTGTCAGAAGATTGCATTTAAGCATGAAACAGACTGTTACCGCTGTGTGTGTGTGTGTATATGTTATAGATAAACAGAATTTTGGGTGTATTTCTGTGTGCATATATGCATCGATAAATACACACATACTTTTCTTATGATACAAACAAACCCCTTACATATTCATGCATACTATTAATTTATGACACACTAGTATAAAGCTATTATACATACACGTATGTATATATACATTCATCTTAATTATAATACACACATCTACAAAACTTTCACAGAGACATTCATGAACACTTGCACACATACGAGTTGGTATCAAAAAGCTTCTGGATTACAGAAACAGATGGCAACACACGGTTGCGTGTTCAGTGTGAGCTAGCAGTGACCTTCACGCGACAATGTGCCGAATGACATCGCTGTGCTTACGTCGCAAGTTGTGAAATTTGTGTTTTTGTGATCAGATGTATGCTTTAGCCTGTGATTTCGTCACGCAAGTTCATGCTTATCATTTTTTTTTCCGACATGCGGTATTGGGCTTTGAGAATTCGTCTCCCCATAACCAGACCGTCAATCGAGAGCTCCACTGCGACATTTTGAGGCGCTTGAGGAAGGACGTTCGGCGAAAGCAACCGGATCTGTGGAGGCGCAAAGAATTAGATTCTGTACGACGACAATGCCTCCACCCCCCACCGTCACCGACCTCTCTTCATTCGCGAGTTTCTAGCCAAACCAAATACAAGATTGTATCGCTTCCGCACTTGCCCTATTCTCCAAATTTAGCACCTGTGGACTTACATCTCTTCTCCAAGCTGAAAATGCAGCTCGGAGAACGCAGAAGGTCCTCGACTCGCTTACGGAAAACGACTTTCAGATTGGGCTCCAAAAAGCGACAGGAACGCTGGGACCGGTGTATTGCTGCGCAAGGTGACTATTTCGAGGGAGATAATGTTAAAACTTAGCTAAATGTATTATTCCTTTTTTTTTTTAAACATGACTAATCCGGGAGTTTTTTTGATACCACTTTGTACATTTATTTTAGAATATTAAACAATACGACACGATATATTTATCGGTTGGGCAACAAGATATTCCTGAGATATTTCTTTGTTAAGAGAAGACTTTTTTTAATGCCATGTCACTTCAGGAAATGACGATCATGGCTTTGAACAGATTGTTTTTTTTTTTTAAATTATTTGTTAATAAATATGATATTTAACCATAATTGGGGATCAAGCAGCATTACTAGATTACCAACAGGAAGCTTGTCTCGTGTTGCCAAAACAACGAAATATAAATTTACTGAATAGGGGAGATTAGTTTGCTAATATATTACTTTTTATATCGTATTTTGTAATAGCATTCTTTGAATACTTTTCGGATAAGACCTTGATTACATGCAGAAAATATAAACAATGGAGCTGAAAAAATTACTTTATTTCTGAATATAGATGAAAATTAGTGTGTATGTATATATTATATATATATATATATATATATATATATATATATATGCATGCCCACGCACATGGTTAAAAATAAGAGCAGATTTCGAAAATTTAAAACAAATGCTAACAGACAAAAGCATTACTAGATAGGAAAAAATCAAAGTTATTAAAATAATTTTTTCATTCTTGTTAAAATGCTTCTTTTTGTTGTTTTTTATTCAAGTACTATATAAATTTAAATTGTTAGAATTTGTTAAAATGGTTACACCACAAGAAAAGTTGTTTTATGTACTGCAATTTGCGAATTGTAACGTTAAAATAAACTTTGAACCTTTTCCTATCCAGTAACGTGTTGAATGTGTTTCTGCCTGTTAGCATTCGTTTTTATTAAAATTTTGGAAATCTGCTTTGTTTGAATATATATATATATATATATATATATATATATATATATATATATATTATACACACACTGGATACTGACAAAAGAAATACCATTAACGAAAAGTAAAAAAGAAAAGCAAATAAAATTGCTGAAACTACTAAGTGTCATTTTAAATGGTGAATGTTTAATAAATAATATTGTATATATAGCTAATATAAAATATGATAACCGACTGAAGTAATATTTTAGTTCAGTGAAAAAAGAGTGGAAGAAAAGATTCTATAGCCATAAATTCAATCTGAATACTGAAATATGTCGAAGTAACGTGATAACACAGAAATACCGTATGAACTGGCAGCAAGAGTTAAATCATAAAATGGTAAAAGGGAAAGCTGTAATCTTTCCCACTTAGAAAAAATATACTTCAAAATATAAGTAGCCTTAATATTAAATAAAAGTGAATTAGTGGTTACCTTAGACATTAAACCAAGTACATATTAAAAAAAATATAGAACCGGAATGACTATAGCAACTGCTGCCACATTCCAAGCATTGTTCCCCTTTTTCCCGCCTTTTCATGTCGAAACGGTCTATTCCATTATCTTTCCCGCAGCCATTAAATAAAGGAGTGTAAAAGACAATTTTAAGTTTATGTCTGACGATTGCCACGCCCATGAAACTTTGTAACAAATTGTGGTAAGTAACAACGATAGAGTTTTTAACATATATATATATATATATATATATATATATATATATATATATATATCTCTTAGCTCTGTTATTTTACATCATTTACTATTTTTACTCCTAGCACTCCACTCACTGTGTAATATACAGGGTGCGATGGGTAATTTTTCGCCATTTTATGTTTTTAGTTTCGCGTCGTTTTTGATTTTATCACCTACACAGTATTCGGCACCATCTGAGAGAAAAGAAGCAAAATGAAGCAATTCACTCCGACAGAAATTTGGAAATTGCGTGCTCTACTGCTTGGCATTCGCGCCGGAAGCACCCGTATGAACATTTCTGAGTGTTTAGGTGTCAATCTGAGGACAGTGCAGAGGATTCAGAAGGAGTTGGATGATATATCCAGTCAACATCATTTGATGGCGATATTATGCCTCAGACTCAACACAGAGGCTTACATTAAGTGGCTTGTGGAGATAATACTGCCCTGAGTTAAGACGGTGGCTGCTGGGAGAGCCTATGTGTGGCAACGGGATTCTGCACCAGCCACATAATTTTTATCAGTAAATCAGGAAATGGTATATAGTGCATATATTCCCATTTTTTTTTTAAGTAACGCAGTTAAAATTTGTTTTAGTGATATGTTCTGATCGTTTATTTAGTAATTTATGTTGGTTTGGGAAGGTGATTATAACTATTCTCTCTTACAGAGAATAGGTTTCATTTTTTGGATTTATTGTTGTAGGCTGAAGTTAATAAAACAAACAACTTACATATAGAATAGATATATGAAAAGTAACCATTGGTAGTTGATAAACCAGTATTAGCACTTTTAGCTTGGTCAATTCTGTCCAGACTTTGATGTCCGACATTAATGAAATATGCTGTTCTCTAGGGAGACAAACTATGGTGCAGAACGTCCCCATTACACACTAAAAGTGTGAGTCGGCACAGGCCACAGAGACGATGTAATGTTTCTCTTCCCTCACATGTACTGGTGTGATCACACATCAGTCCACCTTGTGTTGGATTTGACGTCGGGCAGTGACATAGAAATTTCTATTTCGCTGCAGCCTTACGGGATATAATCATGTCTCTCCAGAATTTTGTAGCTGTTAGTAAGGTTTGTTATTTTGCTATCATTCTCACTGTTTTGCTACTCATTTACATAAATTCATTAAGTAGGATACTCGTTGTTTTCTCTTCTCATCCTGCCTTCAATATATCCTGTAAGTGTTACATTCTCAAGTCCTCTTTCCTCATTTGGTGTCCTCAAAGTTTCAACTGTTTCCTGATTATAAGAATAAGTATCCTTTTTCTTTCCATTTCCCTTAAAATTTCTTCGTTACTCATGTTTCTTTTAAGCATTTCACCCCAAGCAAGGCGGGAGTGCCACTAGTACGTGAGGGGTTACAGAGGGTAGAGAACAAGAGGCGTGTTTGAGGAAGAGGATAAAGAGAAGGACAGGTAACAAGATCAAGGTATCAGAAGATGCTGATTGATGTTTCACTTGAATATTTGAAGATTATAGTTATCAGGGAAGCAAGTAAGAGGAAGAAAATTCCAGAGACGGGAAAGTCGAGAGAAGATGTTTGAATAAAACCGTTTCAACAGTGAAAGGGTGGGACCAAGATGCCAACTTAGTAGCTCGCTTAAATTCAGGCAGTTTTGGGAACCAGCGAAAGCCGTGAAAATATTATAGAAGAGACAGAGGGAAGCCTCGGCACGTCTGTGAGAAAGCGGCTGCAGACTAAATGCCAGATCAGGGCCTATCACATTGCATATCCATCTCTGGATTTTGTCGAGGACCTCGAGACTTACAGTGGAGGAACTAGACCGTATATGACAGCAATATTCCATGCAATATATCCGTAGTATTCTCAGTAGCCTTCTGTACAACTACATTTGTTGCCTCAAGTCTCTTCATCTGTGATGAGATTTCCAATATTCACTGTCATAGCGGAGGACTGATATTACATAACCGTTTAGTACTCTTTTCGTTGTTTCTAACGAAATTTTCCTATTGCTTAATAATTTGCTGGGTTTTTGGAAGGCATCTTTCGGTGTTCCAAGGAACCTTCGGATTTCAGTGTCACATTTTCCGTCATCTGTTAAGGCACTCAGATATTTAGATATTCGTATTTGCATGATTTTGGCGTCTCCAGTTCGTAGCTCGCATCTTGAACTGTTTCTCTTGCTGACACCAATGTATTTTGACAATTATCTTTTGACAATTTATATTTAGTCTTTTCTAGCTTCTGTGGGAGTCCCTGCAGTGTCACTGCATAAAATTAGTTATTTAAAACTATATACTAATTTGTTAAAGCAGATGTAATTCATGCATGATTCCTGTCTCATGTATACATTTATCTGTTGCATGTGAATGGAAAACATGTGCTAATGCATCTATGTGTTCTCATTTGCACAAAATCATTTTCCCAGTCACGAGATGTGTGTGTGCGCATGTGTGCATAACAAAAAAGCAAAGGTCCGCAAACAGCTGCACAGAGAGAAATGCACACACATCTCCCCCCCGACACCTGCAATTATTTACATACATAATGGCTTTTGTGGTATACATGAAGCTGGGAACTGGGAAGCGTAAATAAGGATGACTCATAAACAAAACAAATTAAAGAACAAAGTCTGTAAAATATTTGCTATTAAGTTACAGTTGGATCGTGTTCAAATCCTGTCTGAGTGTTTGTGAAACCTGAGCGCAGTCTCGAATTGACTTGAACTTTATCTGAAACTTCCCCTAAATAGAAAGCAACATGAACAATAGGAACGTATTCATAAAATCATGATTAATATTACTGATGTTCAAACGAGACTCCAGACAGCTAAAGACAATAAAAATCCATTAGAATTACTGGCATTGTCTCTTAGTGCGTTGAGACCGTCTCTAGAAATATTTGCTTTGGTTGGCTCAGACTGAAGCAATAATATAAAGATATTTATTTTAGACCCAGACAGACGCATGGGAAAGATTTTACGATTAAAACAATGGAAACACCAGTCGTTATGATTTTAGTTTGTGGGTTAGCCCCAGATAATTTTGCAAATAATTCGTCAGGTGGCGCTGTCCAAGCATCTATAAAAACGGGACACTTCCTGTCTTCATTCTCTTCTCCGCTCAGCATGCATTTCCCTTAGTAACTGAACTATACACACGCATGTATCACCTACATAATTCCTAACTTGTAATATCATCTTTCTTTTACATGCATACTAGTGCATTTTATTTTTAACTCCGTCACATGAAAACAAAATGTCACCTTGTTGGAATGTTCCATTTCCTTACACTTACATGCACAAAATATTGTTACCACTGCTTTTATTCTAACTAGATATTTAACATCAGAAACAGAGCCAAGATTTCTAGATCACATAATGAGAGAAAAAGTGTTTGATTTGGTTTATTTTTGTTTTACGGCAT